CTATATTTCCTAGAATTTCTACCATGAACATGTAATACATTTATAAAACCCAAACACATGTTATTTTAGAGTATGTTACTTTTTTTAAATTATCATAGCCAATACCTTATCTGTTTGTTAAACCCAAGAATCTCACTAGGAAAGACATTCCTTTCTATATGAAATTTATCCCGGTAAACCCTTGCATCATACTTTGTCTCCTTTGAGGCCCACAAAGACACAGACAAATGAGAATCAGCCACTTTTAAAAGAAAACTTACTCAGGTTTCCATGATTTCTCTCCTACCATTTACACATCTTTGTCATCTACAAAAACTATAGCAGGGATTGTTTTTAACCTGATTTTTTTTTTCTTTTTGGTGTACCTGTGTTTAATTTAAGGCGCACAGAGCACAGCTCCCAGGTGATAACTAAAGCACTGATCTGGAGACCCCAATTTGAGAACCATTGCTGTATTTTGTGTGACACTCCACCCCAGTGCCTTCCTTCTTCTCATTCACCTGCTTTTTTTTTTTTTTTTCCAGTTTTTGGCTGGGGCTGGGTTTGAACCCACCACCTCCAGCATATGGGGCTGGCGCCCTACTCCTTTGAGCCACAGGCGCTGCCCTCACCTGCTTTTCATCTTGGCTTTCCCCCCCAGATTTCCCATTTGGAAGTCAAACCCCAACAACCTTTTGGAAACAAAGAACAAAGACACAGGCAAGAAAAATAAGAGCCAACTCAACCAGGATTTCTGGTGGTGGGATGCAGGCATCAGTATTGTTTAAAACTCTGGTGATTCTAACATGCAGATGAATAGAGGTTTCTCTGCCAGCAAGCGGACATAGCATTTCTGACTGGTTGCTGAGTGGGGTGATCCATGCTGGATTCCACAGTGCATCCTGAAGAAGGGATAGCTTTAGGAAAGAGGCCCAAGGAGGGCTGCACGGAGGAGGTTGCCTTTGATGGAGGGAGGGAGAAGGAGGTTTCCTGGTGAAAAGCATGGGTTACACTGGGAAGGCACAAGGAAGACTTTTCAGGATCTACTCTGGGAAAAGCAGAGGTGGAGAGAAGGAGGGGACAAGAGATCCATGAAGGTGGATATCTTAGATACACAGTGGGTGTGTCAGCCAGGCCACCTCCAAGGAGTGTCACATCAGAACCAGGGGAAGAAGTACCCTGAGCCATGGCAATTCTGATTTAGGGGGTCCTTAAAAAGCCTGGACATTTGAAGCAATCACTTCTGTTCTGCTTTCTCAAAAGCTGTAGGATGCTGGAGAGGAGGCCCTGGTTTGGACATAGAAATGGCTCAAGCCCAGTCTTCTCTGAACTTGTTTCCCATCCATAAATGGGGATGACAGGACCAACTGCAGGAGTGCTATGAAAACCAAGTTGAATACTTGCAGAAAATGCTTCACACTATGCCTGGCACATGCTAGGAGCCCAATAGAGCCCAGGATTGAGTGTGGAAACCCCAGTGAGCAGGGACCCCTGACCATAGTATTTCCTTACTGCTGGGGCCAGCAGCTTGACTCACTTTGGAAACTGTACGTATTTAGTACCTTATAACCTCTGAAAAAGATTCTGTCCCACCAATGAGTCTCACAGAAACACAGCACAACCAGAGCTTTACCTATTGGCTCATGGACTAACCCAGTATGAATCAGTCCCAGGCTGGGTCTGTCTGGCAGAGCCATGTCCACCACAGCATTTGCGTGCAGAGGTGTTCTGGGGCTGGCTCAGACCAGCTCACAAGAACCAACTGTCCTCACTTTTCCCAACTCCACACTCTAGGACAGAAGTATTTAAACCATAATAATTAGCAAGTGCTAGAAAGTGGGTCCTGCTACTCCCACCAAAAGCCAGTTGTGAAAGTTAGCAATCAACTGCCAGGCCTGGGGCCAAACGTTGAACCTGACCCTTTCCCTAAAGCCTGGTCCATGGAGCAGCAGCAGCCTCTCCCCGTAGCTTGTTAGAAATGCAGAATCCTGCCCATCCCCAAGGGTCCCTGGATCAAAGTCTTAGGAAATGGGATCCTGCAATCTCTAGTTTATCAGGATCTTTAGGTAGGCTACAGTTTGAGATGCCATGTTCTAAGCTGTTCAAGATTCACAGAGAAGAGGGCTGAAACAGCTGGTCTTCTGTCCCAGAGAGAAGTAGGGGTGTTTCAGGGCTATGGAGCATCCAGTCTGGGAGTGCACTGTCCCACTGCACAGTCAGGGGTTCCCTGATTTCCCCCTCCCTATTGTTTAAACATCACATGGAGAAAATTAAGAAGAAAAAAAATCCATGCTTCCACCGGCTACACAACTGCTATCACTTTTCTTCCATGCACACATTTATATAAAATAAACCACTGGCTTATTTATTTATTTTTTACATGTTAATCTACAGCCCACTTGTGTTCCTGATTTCTTCCTGAATAGCCATGGCCTTAGACTTTGACATGGTCACCCAAGACCTGTGACTTTTTCGAAAAAAGACTTTGTGAAGTTTCTTTAGCTGCCTTTAATTTTTTGTTTCTAGAACAGACGGCTAAAGCTGCAGAGATGATTGGTACCTGGAATGTAATCTTTAGAATTAACATTCCTCTGACTGGGCCTGGCCTGGAGAGCAGGAAGGAAACAAGCCTTCCCAGTCATGGGCAGAGTCCCATGGAAAGGACAAACCCTTAATCCGTCTTATTCTGGGAA